GCACTCCATCAATGTCAAAAAGGAACCCAAAGGTCGGAGGAGTCTGCAACATAAGATTTATAGCCATTACTACAACACTGGGGAAAAAACAGAGGGGAAGAACAAAGGTTCTTTTTAAAATGACCAGCTGCTAACAAAGAAGTGGGGAGGCTAAGGAGTATTATTTCCAACCTATCCCGTACAACAATATTCATCTAGTCTCACCACATCAATGTCAAAAAGGAACCCAAAGGTCGGAGGAGTCTGCAACATAAGATTTATAGCCATTACTACAACACTGGGGAAAAAACAGAGGGGAAGAACAAAGGTTCTTTTTAAAATGACCAGCTGCTAACAAAGAAGTGGGGAGGCTAAGGAGTATTATTTCCAACCTATCCCGTACAACAATATTCATCTAGTCTCACCACATGCCAGAACACTCTACCATTCTTTCCACTCCTTAAAAATAAACTTCCAACATGTTTAATTAAATGGTGGCAGTGCAGTCCAGTTTCTGGATGTCAGGAGTCCTGGTTTCATTCCTTTCACTGATCTTCTGTGTAAGCCAGGACATCTGACCTCAGCTGTTTTTGATACTTACCTTTGTGAGCACTTTAAGATCTGTGGATGAGAAGCCTTCATAACAGAATAGCATGTATCATTAACAGACATGTCTGAACCCAAATACCACCAAGTCCTTATCTCCCAAGTAGGAGCTAAGTGACTAGATTCCGTCGCTGGATTTTGCTTATTACAGTGGTAGCATGATGCGAACAGATTTGGACTGTACCGTGTTAAGAATCTCTGTAACAGAGTTCAAGGAGAAAATGCCCCTGGAAAGACAACAATATGGTCCAGGCACATGACAACATTATACTTGCCAGTCCCACATCAAAAGCTCCTTCAGGATACAAGCTGCTATACTTAACATCTAGCTGACAACCCAGGAGTCTGGCTGACCCTTTTCCAGAGGATTTTGCCCAGAGCCATCCTTCACAACATGCTATTGGGGCATCCTCTAGTCCAACAGGAAGTTCTACCCCTGGGTCATTGATTTGCTTTTATATTCTCACCTTTGAGTGAAATAACAGTTACTGTCAGCCCAGTTCTATGGACAAGTCACAGCTGTTAGGGTGTAAGAACACATGCAGGGACAGTGGCACCAGCTTTTGCCCGCTACTTAGTGCTCAATTCACAATGCACTAGGAGATGCATAGAAGCAGCCACCAGGTTACATTAGAACAGCCCAGCAACCACAGTGGAGCACAGAGGCATTTTTGAAGTGTTCTCCATTAACATGTGTGCACTCCTTAATGTGGGCGAGCAAATTCTAGTGCTCCTGTTCAAATTTGGTTTGCCATGGCTTGTGCCAGTAAGGGAGGGAGGCTGAGCAAAGGAGCCAAGCTGGTTTGCAGGGCTGCTGTTCCTAGTTCTAATGGACAATCGTTTAGGGTCTATTTAGTCAGAGGAAAACCAGGCGAGAAAGCTCTCCTGGCCTATGGCTACCCATTAACTTATCTGGAGCTTCGTAGGACACGCTGTGCCACTATTTACAGAGCAACTCACAGACTTGCCCCTGCTGGAGGGAGAGCAAAGGAGCCAAGCTGGTTTGCAGGGCTGCTGTTCCTAGTTCTAATGGACAATCGTTTAGGGTCTATTTAGTCAGAGGAAAACCAGGCGAGAAAGCTCTCCTGGCCTATGGCTACCCATTAACTTATCTGGAGCTTCGTAGGACACGCTGTGCCACTATTTACAGAGCAACTCACAGACTTGCCCCTGCTGGAGGGAGGGGG